ACATGAATTTGTTTTAATTGCTGCTTTTATCCCAGAGCACCCAAAGCCATCCTCAGGTTGTTTCAGCTGCAGGTGGACAATGAGATGAGGTTGCATCCTCAGGAAACAGGTAATGGCCTATATTCATGCCAGGGCAAGGAGGCTGTGTGGATTTGCCCATAGTCACCCTTTCTCTCTCTCTCTCTCTCTCTCCTTCCTTCCTTTTAATTTCCCTTGTGAGCCTGAATTTCTTTTGCACTTTACCCTTTCTTTCATTCTGCAAATATTAACTACTTGGTGTTACATCTCCATGGTGGTTAGACCCATTTCCTATACAACTCTTTTTTAATTCTTAGCTCAGCTGAAAGGTTCCTATGGATCTACAACTGTTTCCTAAACGGCCCCACTCTGTTTTTCTCCTCAGCTTCAGAGAATTCTGCTTGTTTTGACCTCAGATCTGAACTACCGTTCTGGCAGACCTCTGTGGAACTTGGGGATTCCGAATTTTAATGAGGAGAAGAGCAGTTAGAATGTTATTTCCAGGTCCTCCTTGTTTAAGAAAGTTTCTCTGGCAAGGATGGGTCTGTACTTAGTGCTGGTTGAGGACAAACTATTCCTCCTCAGCCACTGCCTTTTCTAACTGGTTGGCTTCTCTCTTCTACAAGAGAGTTGAGATGCTAAGACGCCATTAAAGAAGGGCAGGATTTGAGGTCAAGACCTGTCCTTTGCTCTTAGCAAGGGTGGCTCCATTTTCCTGAGTAAAGAGAATAGCACTGGAAAAGGAGAGCATCTCTAAGGCCATTAAATAAGTCACAGATCAGAGCTGTATTGGCATTATGTTGTATCTGAACAGGAGCAAACAATATTTTTATTGGTTTGAGAGACACATTTAGCCTTTGAGAGGCATGCCATTGGCCAAACATACAAAAGGAGGTAGAACCAGGACAGAATCTAAACCCAATTTGATTGAATGTCAATGTAATTAGAATTCGATTAACCAAATCTAGTTCATATGATCATTCTTTTATATTTAATAATTTCCCTTCATATCATATTAAAAGTTACAATTCCTAATGTGACAAAGTTACAATTTACTGTGATTCTTGGTTTGGGAACCACACACATAGATTGGGGGGCAGTTGCATGCAGCCCCAAGGCCTCAGATTATGCACCCCAATGTGGGAAAAGAGATGACAGTGGGGCGACATGATCGCTGTCTCAGTGGGTGTCAAGCAGAAGACAGGGCAGAATTGTTCAGCTGTTTCAGCAGATACAACAAGAAACCAAGGGTTTAAATTTACAAGGAAACAAGGGTTAAGATTGTGCTAGATTCTATCCAAAGTCCCTTCTATTATTTTAAATGTAGCCTTCCTGTGGCTTGATAAAACTGCTAGGAGCATGCTGGTTTCAGGTGAACGTTGTCAAGCCTATCTGATGGCTACAAAGAAATTCCAGGCTTCAGAGATAGCAACTGATACTAAAGATCACCAGTTCAATCACTGATCTCTGCAGTAAAACATTCAAGAAGCACAGCTGGGAAAGACCCCTTTTCCTGAAATGCCGTGACTGCCAATGGAAGCAAAGACCCTTAGACCAGGCCTGACTCAGTCACTGGTTTATATACTACTCTAAGCTATGGCTTGTTCAACCAGCTGTTCAAACTGAACAAGCCACAATTGGTTGAGTCCACACAACATGCTAAGCCATAACCATCCCTTATAATTCAAAATGACAACACCCTGAATTAGCATAATGGGTGATCCCCTTCACAGTAAATCAATTTCCTTATATTAAGTGGGCAGATGGGACGCCAATTGTGCAGACCTGTCTTAGAGAAACTGCTTGGATGGTGGCTGTGGTATTGTAAAGTAGCTAATTGTATTGTCACCCCACTTCTTGCCTTTGTCATTTCATTTTTCTGTGCTTCCCCCCCCCCCCCAAAATTGAATGGAATTTCCAATGATTTTGTTGTAGGTTCATAGTGGAAAAACCAATGCATAACTGATTTATGGAATCACGGCAAGGAGATTCAGTAAGAGGATGGAATGAAATAAAGAAAATCTTGAGAGTAGAAAAGAATAGCTCAGCCAGAACAATTCAATGGAAACCTGCACATTTTTTTTATTTATTTAC